TGTCACTAGTCATGAGCATCTACTACAATCTGTCTAACAATAACAAGACTAACTCGGCCTGGAAAATAGCTAAATACAACTAGAGGAAGATAAGAGGGAGAAGAGTAGGGGCTGCGATCGCCAAACAGCTACCTTGCTATCTCCAAGAAAATCTGCAACCAGGACACTCAATAACCGCTACCGTGTCCAGCTACACCTGGATCTACACACAAGGTGCAGGGAGTAATGTGAGTACGCCAACTCAGTAAATAACAACAATAAATAAAGACTGAGCAGTAGTGATGAACAATAAAGCATATAACGTTCATATCAGGAAATCTCAGTAAAATACCACATGCTCTTAAAAAAATCAGGATTTGATTCAAACATCTCGTTTAAACCCAGTTCCAGTAAAAATCATTTAAAGATATTTTTCCAACAGTTTTTCAAACAAAGGCTCAATGCAAAGGTGAGCAAAAATGATGAAATCATAAACAGCCCCTCGGGCAAAACATCACTCATATACAGCCCCTCGGACAAACCTCACAGTCACTCGTGCCACTCAGGCATACTTCACAATCACTCTTGCCACTCGGGCACACCTTATAATCACTCTTGCCACTCGGGCATACCTCAAAATCACTCTTGCCTCCCAGTCACTCAGCACTCGGCACTCGCACTTAGTAGGTACCTGCGCTCACTGGGGGTGTGTACAGGCTCCGGAGGGGCTCCTTCATCCAAAGCACTATAATCTGCATGGACAACTCACGTGCGATAATAATAAAATATGTTACAGGCGGGCAGCCCCGATCCACACTCATCCTCATAAATCAGGCCCTCGGCCTCACTCAGTCATAAAGTATGTTGCAGGCGGGCAGCCCCGATCCACACCCATCCTCACAAATCAGGCCACTCGGGCATTTTAGTAAAACAGGGCATTCGGTCCAAAATATTTATATGCATCAAAATAGAGATATAAAACTGAGTTATGCGGTAAACAAGTAAAAATATGACTGAGTATAGATTTTCAATCGAAAACAGTGAGAGGATAGTAAGAAACAGCCCCTAAGGGTCCAAACAGCATTGGCGCAAGGCCCAAACATGGCATTTAGCCCAATTTACAGAAAAGTTTTCTAAAACATATAAGTATCAATGGTTTCAACAAAGTATGCAACTTTACAGTTGCTACGGGGCGGACCAAGTCATAAATCCCCAACAGTGCACGCCCACACGCCCGTCACCTAGCATGTGCGTCACTAAAAATAGTAGAATGATACAAAATCCGGGTTTCATACCCTCAGGACTAGATTTACAATCGTTACTTACCTCAAAACGTGAAACTTTTTACTCTACTATGCCTTTGCCTCGCAAATCGACCTCCGAATGCCTCGAATCTGGTCATAAATAATTCGTTTCAGTCAATAGAATTCATTGGAATTAATTCCACAAGATAATAATGATTTTTTCATAAATATCTGAAAATTAGCTCAAAAATCACCCGTGAAGCCCACGTCTCGGAACCCGACAAAAGTTACAAAATCTGAAAGCCCATACAAAATTCGACCTCAACTCGACCCTCAAATCTACAAATCTTATTTCCAAATTTCTAAGTCCCAATCTCCGATTTACACCTCAAAATCATATAATCTAGTCGGATTATTCGATGATAATTCAATATTATGGAGTAGAAATAATCACAAGGGACTTACCTCAAGTTTTTCTTGAAAATATATCAAAAATCGCCTCTCCTCAAGCTCCAATTTATCAAAAATGGCAAATGGGACGAAATCCCTGTTTTTATAATTCTGCCCAGACATCTTCGGTTCTGCCTCGATCTTGGCCTTAGATCTTGGCCTTCGATCTTGGCCTTCGATCGAGGTCCTTGATCCTGGTCCTCGGTCCTGCCCCTCGATCCTGGTTCTCGATCCTGGCCCTCGATTATGTCTTCGACCCGGCCTTCGACCGTGACCCTCGACCCTGGGCTCGATCATGGCTTCGATCAGGCCCTCGACTCTGGGCTCGATCTTGGCTTCGATCGTGGCCCTCGACCCTGAGCTCGATCTGGGCTTCGATCGTAGCCCTCGACCCTAAGCTCGATCTGGGCTCGATTTCTGGGCAGAAGCAATTTCCAACAAAAGGAAATTGCAGCAGCTGTTATAGTTCAATTTTTGATCCGTTAACCATCCGAAACTCACCCGAGGCCCTCGGGACCTCAACCAAATATACCAATAAGTCCTAAAACATCATACGAACTTAGTTGAATCCTCAAATCACCTCAAACAACTCTAAAATCATGAATTATACCCCAATTCTAGCCTAATGAACTTTAAAATTTCTAATTTCTACAAACAACTCCGGAACCTATCAAATCATGTCCGATTGACCTCAAATTTTGCACACAAGTCCTAAATGACATATCAGAGATATTCCAATTTTCAGAATCGGGTTTCGACCCCGATATCAGAAAGTCAACCCCCCGGTCAAACTTCTCAAAAATAAAACTTTCGGCATTTCAAGCCGAATTCCTCTACGGACTTTCAAATAATATTCTGAACACGCTCCTAAGCCCAAAATCACCATACAGAGCTATTGGAATCATCAAAATTCAAATCTGAGGTCGTTTACATATAGGTCCATATCCGGTCCACTTTTCTAATTCAATTTGTTTTTTTTAATTATGAGACTAAGTGTCTCATTTCACTCCGAGTTCCTTCCGGACTCGAACTCACTAATCCGATATAATATAATATAGTTGAATAACACCAAAAAGAAGTAGGAATAGGGAAAACGGGGTTATAACTCTCGAAACGACCGGCCGGGTCGTTACATCCTCCCCCTCTTAAATATCCGTTCGTCCTCGAATGGGTCTAGAAACATACCTGGAGTCTCGAATAGGCGTGGATATCTGCTCCGCATCTCCCGCTCGGTCTCCCAGGTAGCCTCCTCCACAGGCTGTNGCTGACCTCTCCATTGCACCTTCACTGAAGCTATATCCTTTGACCTCAACCTTCGAACCTGCCGATCCAAAATTGTTACCGGCTCCACATCATAAGTCATATCACCCTCCAACTGAACAGTGCTGAAATCCAAAACATGGGACGGATCTCCAATATACTTCCGGAGCATGGAAACATGAAACACTGGATGCACACTCAACAAGCTGGGTGGCAAGGCAAGCTTATAAGCCATATCTCCTATCCTCTGAAGAACCTCAAAAGGTCCAATGAACCGGGGGCTCAACTTGCCCCTCTTCCCAAACCTCATAACACCC